ACTTTTGCTTCACTTTGTGCTTCCATTTTTTATCTGTTAGTGTTACTGTCTTTTGTAGTTGTTTTTCTTTTCACCAGGGCCCCATTCAAACCAGCCTCGTTGAACTGGGCACCCCTGAATAGATATTGTTCAAAATAGTATAAAATAAAATAAAAACCATCACTTTTCTTATTATATAGTCCGTTCCCGTTGTTCCTTCTGGTCGTCACGCTTCCGCTTCCGGCGTCACGCTATAAAGACTCTAGGCCCTGGGAACGAGGGGATCAGGAATGAACTGGAAGTTTGCCAAGCTTTCATTGCATTCCATGAGAACAGTCGCCATATTAAGACGAAAATCATCAACGCTTTCTTCCTCAGATCAGCAGCCTTAGGTAAGAGTTGTATATTACATATAGAATGCTTCACAGAAAGTGCCTAGTTATGGTATTTCATACGACCGAGTTGCTTGGTTGAAGTATGAAAAATCTCACTTCCTGCGTGCTCTCGCTATATACAGTACTCGTTCCATGGTTATTTCAGTTTGAACTCGAACTTGAAAGTGGTTAAGATATTTAATACAAACGAGTTGTTAAGGTATGAGAAAGCTCACTCCCTGCGCTCACTCGTGTCTGCAGCTCGTGTTTAGTACTCGTTCCATGGTTATTAACTTTAGAATATTTTCCCGGCCACTTATTTTCATCTCTGTGAATGACAAGCATGCTCTTAAGCTTTAAAGCAGAAATGAAGTGGCCAAATATACGTAAGGGTGCATTCGATTACTTTATCTGGAATAGGAATCCATAGAATAACCGTTCGAATGACCAGTTATTTCAATTGTGGAAGAAGTGGAAGTATATCAGAGACCTTAAGATACACGATTTCCCTGTATGGGTATGAGTAGATTACCTGGCCTGTCACTAGCCATAAATACGGGCAGACCGCCTTAACCCATCCTTGGAGACCCAGGGGCAGTCAGTCGGGCAGGGAGAAAAGGCGCGAGAAAAGTTTTCAAGCCCAGGTGAAAAAGCCCCTGGGTACCGACTCTCACCGGATCATTTCCAAACAGTCAAGCAAATGCTGGCTCCTGATTGGGCACAAAAAATGTGTTGTATTATTGTGCCCAATCCGGGAATAGTTTCTCCTGAGTTCTTTTCGTGACATGGCGGCCATTTTCTTGCCACAGCTGCCCGGTTTGTTCACCAAGCTTTCCTTACCAGAAATGAAGATGCTACCAATGGGTCGGAAAACTGGGTGCTATCAGCAGGAGCAATTCAATTTGCACTGAGAAAATTCTGTTTCTGATGGATCACAATGTATCATAAATAATAGGAAGTTTAAGATGCAGCGACAACGAGAAAGTAAAAATTGCAATAGCTTGACAAGACAAAACAACAATATTATTTTGCACGTGTATCCTCCATCACCCTTTTTTGCACGTTTCTTTGCTGTCACTGCGCTACCACCACGTGAAAATGCCTAATTTCACGTTTTGTGAAGAACGTAAGCAAGCAATGACAAAATTTTCTTCTTTTTATGAACTTCGATATGGTTGATAGAAATTCAGCTCCAGAAGAGTTCGCTTGCATTTGACAAAGTAAGCAAGTTGGAATAATCATGATAGAGACTAAAGAAATGTGAATTCACTTTTCAAGCTCAAGCTTGTGTTTTTGGAAAAGCGTCTTTAGTTTTTGGGTAGACAGTATTTTGAAATTGAGAGTTTGTATCAAACTGAAAGTTTCCTGACTGCCTGCATTTCTTTGGTGCATGAGCCAAAAAAGCCGTGATCGAGTCAGTAGCAGGTCGTGTACAAACTCACGAAAAGAACTGAAGAGATGCTGTTCACCGATTGGGCACAATAATACAAAGCATTTTTTGTGCCCAATCAGGAGCCAGCACTCGTTTGACCATTTGGAAATGGTCTGGTGAGAGTCAGTACCCAGGGGCTCTTCCGCCTGTGCTTGAAAACTTTCGTCGCACTTTTTCTCCCAGCCCGACTGACCGCCCCTGGGTCTCCGAGGATGCCTTAATCAGGAGAAAGAGCTAGGCTTCAGGGTGTAATGATCTTATTGCACCAGGGGGAGTACCCAAGGTTTAAGGTCAGTGGAATATAAGAGCAAAAATCAAATGGGCTTCCAACAACACATGAAAGAATCCCTGGACCAAAAATTAACTCTCAAAATTCCCAGGCTGAACTGCTAAGTCTCAAGAATTTACTCCGCCAATAGGGAATTCCTGAGATAGTAAAGTTGGGCAATAAAAACAATAATCAAGACATCAATGCATTGCTTAAGGTACACAGCCCCGAGGACCTAATTACCCTATTAATGCTCAAATTAACCCCCCTCTCCAACCTCCGCCCCTCAAATAGGCACCCCATTCAAATTAGTACCACTCTTTTAGGCTTCAAATATTAAAATTAATACTAAAGGGACACTATCATGATTATATGCATGTGCAAACATCATGTGTTTTTTCTTGAAACAACAACAGAACTGTCACACTAAGATGCACTAAGATTTTCTTGCAAATTCATCTCCGACAGACTTTCTTTGTTTACATATCTCAAATAATATTTTACACTTTTGACAAAGTCTTTCATTTTATTTAATAACTGGCTCATGGCATAAAAAGATTTAGTATATACTAAAACTGTGGATAGTGTTTTTCGCACGCTCTGATTGGCTACTCAATCAGTGAATATCCTGCACTATTCACTGATTCACCTCCAGTTCCTCCGAGCGAGCAACGCCAAACTCGCGTAAGTTGCGAGCAAAATGCTTTCCCGGTTTGCTGCCGTAAACAAACAAAGAAATTTCACAACTAAACAAGCAAGCTGTTTCCGAAATACACGAAGAAGGTGACGAAGTTCGGATTCGAAGTTTTAACAGGTAAAGCTTTGTATTTTTGACACGAATTTATCGATAAAACAGGTGAAAACGTTTTTGTTTACAAATGCAAATTAAGTAAAGTCTTGCTTACTTTATTTAGTTGAGTTGTTCATAAATAAGCTTAAAGCTAAATTTAATAATCTTTTTTTATAGAATGATTTTAAATACAAAAAGAATTCACAACTCCTTTTGAAGAAATTTCCCCGCAAGAGCTAAACAAATGCCTTCAAAAGTTTTAATTGTCGGCAAGAAAAAGCGATGGTCGCAGCCGCCTGGTCATTACGCGCCAAAATTGTAATAGTTGGCAACAGTATTTGAGTTAAAAATCGTCATTTTTGTGCTCAATTATCTCACTGTTTTAGTATATACTAAAACAATTATTCACCTCAGTGTCGGTGGCTAGTCGTGGATATTTACCTCACTGCTTCGCTGTTCGGTAAATATCCAGAACTAGCCACCTCCACTTCAGTGAATAATTGTTATTTATTGTGATTTTTTCACTCACTCAGCATTGCGACCTTAAAAGCTTGTTCCACATGCTCTGCAGCTTTTCTGCTGTAAAAATTGTGTAAGAACTCAACTTATGGCAAGCTCAAAATAAATCCAGTAATATTTGCTCGTGTTCTAGCCTCAAATGCTCAAAGGGTATAAATAAAAATACAATCTATACATGATGAAGGCATCGCAAAAGTTACTCAAACATAATAATTTATTATGATCTCATTACACTTGTTTTTCTATACATCAAGGGCCAGCTGTTTGGTTAATTTAGTTGGTCATATTTGTTAAGGAGGTTTTTTAATTTTACTAAGTTAAAAATGTCGTTGCAAGATCTTTTCAGTGGCATCCATGTCTCATCCGTTCCTTTGTTGTATTTAAATTTAAGCAACGTTAAAAACTCCTAATTTCACTAAAATCAAAAGTTAATAGGAACATTGATCTGTAGTTTTGAGAAGGTTTTATTGGTGTAACTCAATCGAGCATGATGCAAAGATTTTGGAAGGTTCTATAACACTATGTGGATTTTTTGAATTCTCAACATCCTGTCAGAGAATCTAAGTTTGGTACATGCGCAGTAATGGGATAGTGTTCGTTTAAGCTTCCGGCCCTCCCCTTCATATAAATGACCACCTTTAACACCCTGCCTTACTAAATACATGGTATACTGGACTTTTATGTTTCAAAAGGGTAGCATAAAAGTTACAGTCACAAGAGGATAACTTATTTGGGGACATCACACTATCAGATGACTCAGCTCCTTTGAATATAGTACTTAAGGATAGTTTTAATGGAAAGTTCCAAGCTAAGTACATGATCATAACACACTTGAGTATTATTGAAAAATATGTTGTAGTTTCATTGCTTAGGGAGCATTCATAATTTATCTAGAGGGTGCCGGCTATGATGATTTCCTTATTTGTTTTAAACCTAGAAATTGCAGAACTGTAATGGTTTCTTTGCAACGCATCGCTATCCTCCTTTTCTAAAATTCCGACAAAGACAAAGAATTTTCGTTCGGGAGCCCCCGCCCCACGTCTGGCAGGGCCTCTCTACAAGGGTAGAATCCATACAGGTCTGGCCTCGCAAAAGAAGGGTTACAAGCTTGACGAACCCTGTGCCCAAATCAGTCACATACTGTGTTCTTCACTCACAGCAAATACCACGAAATGTCACGGGAAGATGGAAAGCAAGTGAATATTTACAAAAAAGGGATTTTTTTTCATATCTGTCTCTAATTAATTGTGTTATTCTTAGAAAAAGCCTCAACTTGTTGTGTTAATTTTTTACTTTTAGGGAGCGGTCATTAACTATAGTGGGGGGGGGGGGGGAGGGCCGGTATTATTTCAAAAGTGAGGGCCCAAAAATTTTAGCCCCTCTCAGGTTAACAGCCCAAAAATCCTGCCCCCTCCAAAAATGTGTGCCCAAAAAATTGTAACCCTCCCCGTAACATTTTGAGTATTTGAATGTTGCATCGCGAGAATCCATATCAGCGTAACTTTGAGACAATTATTTTACTGGAATAAAAAATGTTACTATTTACAATATTTTCGGGGGTAGAAGCGGAATCATTTGAATCTTGATATTCATGATTTCTGTCGTTTTTTACCTCAATGATTCATGATTTTCTTCCAGATTCATGATTCACGAAGACTTTTGATCATCTATTCATTTAATGATGTTCTTACTGGCTACCTAAGGTACAGTAACATGGGCCACAAAAAGCACGCAATTTGTTTTGCAACATGGCTGCAAAATGAGTTGAATAGTGATGTTGCTCGTTTTACCACCCACGAAAACAAACCTTGCAACCTTATTTATTGCAAGACAGGGTCGAACATGGGTGGTAAAACGCGCAACATCGCTGTTCAACTTGGTTTGCAGCAATGTTGCAAAACAAGTTACACGTTTTTTGTTGCCCGTTTTACCGCAGCTTTAGTCTTGTTTGTATAGTTTCTTTGGTTTTCAAACTTCTGTTTTCATCCAGAATTATGTACATTTTGGACCACTGTTTCTCGGTATCATCATTCATTTTGTCCAGGTATGGAGTTTTTTTGTAACTGAAAATTAAGCACTAGTGTCACTGGAGAAACAAGTGTACTGTCAGCCCCGAATGCACAAATTATATAGGGGGGTTTGGGGGCATGCTCCCTGGGAAAAAAAAAAAAAATTGAAAATTGGACTCTCAGAAACGACATATCCTGCATTCCCTAGATCGAACGCAATTAATTCATACATCTATTTTGTTGATCTTTCAGTTCTCGGTCTCGTTATTCATATAATTCCCCTGCGCTGTTTTCAAAGCCATTTCAAAGTCAACCAAATTGCAAGCTATTCCACGTGAAGTCACTCCTCATCTCCAGCCAATCAGAGTGCTTTTTAACCGTGCGATTCTGTTAATATTACTTGCACGGCCACCGTATTTCGAGCAATGCTTAATATTTCAGTAACGCAAAACCCATTAGTACGCACATATCGCCCAAAGGCGCCCAGAAAATTGTAACCCTCCCCTAAATGCGGGCTCAGAAAATTTTAGCCCCCCCCAAATGAGCGCGCAAAATAGCCCCCGCCAATAGTTAATGACCACTCCCTTATGTCTTTTATGTGTCTACTTTGCTCCATATACGCTTAAGGTGATTCCCTGGTTTTGCACTGCGTAGCCTGCGAGCAAGCTCTCCTATTTTGGCGAGTGAAACGAGTCTTGCGAGAACACGCGAGCGAGCGGTGAAGCCGCGAGGGGCAGAGGAAAGGAGAGCTTGCAACCACCCCTTACAACTTTTCATTTGTACTTCGCCCAGACGAAGGGAAATACCATTGGCTGAAAAATGACATTCCGGAAATCAAAGTTGATTGATAACAGGCCAAGCTGGCACCCCCTTCGACTGTGTGTCAAATTTGGTTCTCAGGGAGATCAGATTGGTACCGAGAACTTGTTTCAGCCCTCAATGCAGACGGGCTCGTTTGTTGTAATTCTCGCAAAGAGAATATTGCGTGCTGAGGATAAGTCGGACCAAGTTTGTAGTTCTTGTGGAAGGAAAATGAAAACCCTCCATCAGTTGTATTCATTTGTGTCAAGCGCCTTGTTTAGTTCTGAAAACCGGGAGAGTGAAAGTGAAGAGTGATTAAAGCGCTGTCTTCCAACATCGGTTTCTTCGCCCGATTGAATTCTACTGGGTAGAAAAATTCAGAAACATGTACTTGACAGTGTAGCTGTTGGAAGCAACTGGAGTAAACGTTAAGAGAACCAAGTGCCTGAAAACGCTATTCTCCAGTTCCAGACGGACAAATATATGATGTTTTTGTTGGTGATTGCGATGGGGAGTAGTCTTCTACGCTTCAGTATGGACGACCTTTCAAAAGTAAACGAAACGAGAATCAAAGTAGACAGTTCTTATCCGAGCGGACACGTTGAAGTTCGATGTCCCCGTGAAAAAAAAAAAACATATCAGTGATATTAAAAACATCGCTTTAATGCTGTTGCGAAAGCGATTTATAAATAAATAATTCTACGCGCCCTCGGCTGTCTAAACTTAATTGACAGGCAGTTGTCACTTTTCTAATCTGCCGCACGTTTGCGGTGACAATTTTCACGCTTTGCGGAGTCCCGGGGTTTCCGGGGTGGAAATTAAAATTTATGAGAGATGGTTGCAAGCTCTCCTTTCCTCGGCCCCTCGCTCGCGCGTTCTCGCGAGGCTCGCTTCGCTTGCCCAAATAGGAGAGCTTGCTCGCAGGCTATGCACTGCGCATCTCTTACTGCGCATAACAAGATGGCCGCCGTAAAAAAGAGCATGTGAAGTAACATTATTAAAATGAAGTTGACTGAAGAGAAACGCTATTGGAATTTTTGCTTGCGGTTGTTTCTTGCCGAGGTGAGACTCAATGTGTTGGGAATGTGCATAACGTAAGCAGTACGCGTGTTGCTGAGTTCTACTTCCTCACGGAGAACCTCGATAGTGGATGTTTAACTTGTGCTTACTCACTTTGATTTTCATTTAAACGCTTTCTTTATCACATTGTGTCCTAAATGTGATATCTCGATGTAAATTCTGTGAAAATGCATTTTTTGATACCTTCTTCCCCCTTTCACAAACCATTCTATATTGAAGCTCGTCCCAGTCCTCTCTCAAAAATCGGAGAAAATGCATTTGGTGTGCACTTTCTGCAGCTCTACCGCAAAAACGAGTACGGTGACCCCCATTTTTTATTTCATGATTTTAATAAGGACAGTGATTTCTTTCGATGAGAAAAAAATTGGCACAAATCTATGTTCAGTTTGTTGGCAGTTTTACTAAATTGTACGGATTGAGCTATCACGGGTCGAATAGCGTGCGTGCAATTTAATTCTACTTTGGAGCGTAAAGTAAAAACAAGGGCATTAAAAGGCATTTTTCTGGTACGTAAGTGGATAAACAATACATTAAAGTCAAATTCTGTCCTATACCACATGCATCATGGAAAAAATCTCTAAAATCTCTCCTTTTTGTCTAGTTTTTGGTTGCGCGCGGTTTTTGTCAAAGGGTCCTAAATAGCCGTATTTGTCAGCATTGTGACGTCAAAACAAGCACGGTGACCCCCATTTTTTATTACTTTTTTATCATCTTCTTGACTTGTGACATCAGTGTACCAAGTTTCATCTACAATCTGTGTTAGGTTCTTTTACTAAGGAATCACCTTAAAAAATCACATGCTTTTATACGCTTGTCAGTAAATATTTTGTAATTTATACGCTTACGATAGCGAAAAAATTATTGACTTTAAGACTCGTTAAGCAGTTAACGCCACTGACACCCTCTCAAATGTGTATCATGTTTATCATATGTATTTGAATAAAGTATTGTAGGGGTGCCGAATGGTACCTCGAAAAACGTTGGTCTAGGAAAATTTTAGCAGGATCTCGAAATCTCGGAAGCGTTTTCGATAATTCTCGAAGTCTCGTTTTTTCATGGTTTGTTTTTACTTTTTTGAGTCTCGAAAATTTTCACCAAAGGGTCTCGTAGCCTGCGAAAACATCCATTTCTCCTCACTCTTCGCCGCTGGGGACGTTGCGCAGAAACGGATGTTTTCGCAGGCTAAGGGTCTCGGGCTCGCATTTCTAACTAAGATCTCGGCGTCTCGGCTAGTCTCGGATTTTACCATTCACCACCCCTTATTGTTATAGCCTTGCTTTTGTTTCTTTACCATGGCGATTGATTCGAATTTTCAAGTTTGCAATATAAACTCTATGAATCGTCATCAATGCACTCTCTTGGTCGCTTGACTTGTTTCGCCCGTTTTCTATTTATTTTCGATCAGGGTTTTCCCTATCCCCACCATCAATTTTGTTATGGTCCATCTTCTGGCCGTCACGCTATTCGGTAGAGACACTAGGCCCTGGGAACGAGAAGGTTAGGAATGACCTCGACGCCAGTCAGCCAAAATTAGTCAGCCAATATTTTCTCTTGCATTCCGTGTAAGAGGCTTTCAAAGAACAATCAACATATTAAGACGAAATTCATCAAACGCTGTCTTCCTCAAATCAGCAGTCTTAGGTAAGAGTTGTATATTACATATAAAATACGGAGGTTCATAGAAAGTGCGCGGTTATTGTATTTAATAGATAAGAGCGAGTTCTTTAAGTATGAAAAATCTCACTTCCTGCTCTCGCTTAAACTCGTTCCAAGGTTATTTGAACTCGAACTTGAAAGTGCATGGTTATGGCAATTAATACGACCAAGCTGTTGAGGTATGAGAAGCTAGCTCCCTGCGCTCAATCGTGTCAGCTCGTGTTTACACTCGTTCCATGGTTATTAGTATAGATAATAGCATGATTTGTAGTGATATTTGGCATAAATACCACGAGTGATATTTCGAAATTGTTATACATAACAATTTTTTGAAATATAACAAGTGGTATTTATGCCAAATATCACGTACAAATCATGCTATTATTTGTTATACTACTGCCAGCAAGAGGTTTGTAATAGACCTTGTCACGGTTTTCGACGCCATCTTGACGAGTAGGCAAACTCGTGAGAAATTACAGTGTTTGTCTGAGAATCTAATGTCAAATAATTTCCGTAAAACGGCTGTTTTAAAAAATATATGAACTGTAAACTAAAGCTTCACTCTTAAGGATTCTACTGAAAAAACTTTAGGGAATTACATACGCTAAAAGACCTAGAACCCGTTTTGAAATTTTTCTATACATTTGTCTGTAAAAATTTCCCGGGAAAAATTGCAGACAAATATATGGAAAATCTTAAATCAAGCTTCTGGAGAAATTTAACTACAGTAACGGCCCCCAAAATTTGTTGGTAAAATCCTTTGCTGTGTAGCTTTAGCTTACAGTTCATATTTTTTCTAGAACAGCCATTTTACAGAACTTATTCGACATTAGATTCTCATGCAAACACTGGAATTTCTCATGCGTTTGCCTACTCGTCAAGATGGCGTCGAAAACCGAGACAAGGTCTATTTTCACATGTAGGTATTTCAAATTAAGCTGAAAGACCATTGCTCTAAGCCAATCAAATTGCAGAATTTCTCATGTGGTAGTATAAACTTAAAAATACCCGGCCTATTTATTTGCATCTCTTTGAATGACAAGCATGTTCTTTGTTATTCCTTGTTTAGCTTTAAAGCACAAATGAAGTGGCTCAATATTCTTAAGGGTGCATTTGATTGACTTACGTGGAATAGGCATACATAGAATAACCGTTCGAATGACCTGTTATTCCAATTGTGGAAGTGGAAGTTTATCAGAGACCTTAACCCATTCACCCCTTAGTCACCCGTAACCGCCCGCGCGGATCCACGTCCTTTCTACCGCTTGTGACGTCATCAGTTTTAACGGTCAAGGACAACTTTGTCCACTACATGTATCATGTGCAGAATGAAGAGATCTTTCAAACTATACCAGAATGAGCACAATTCAGTCAAGGACACCAGAGAAAAAGGCAAAAAACCATGTAACATTGACCTGAAAATTTCCATGAAAATCTTATTCCACTGCCCACCTACCTTTCCTTTCACCTAATCCTAAGATCCTAAAAGCTTTCCTAAAAACTTTTCCCACCAAAATGAAGCGTACTAAATGCCCAGCAAGAGAAAAAAAAATGATTCAAGAAAAGCAAAAAGTAAAAGTTAAGACTGCTGTGTAACTTTTAAACCCAAAAATTATCTTGAAAGTTTGCTTTCTTCACATGCCCAAACTTAATTTGCAAGATAATATTTTGCATCTGGATCAGAAGGCTGCAAAGTGTAGGACCTGTAAATGGCTTGGTAAGTTTTAGCTGTTTATATTAGCATGACGGTAAAATCTCCAGGGGCAAGTGGGTTAAGATACACCATTTCTGTGTATGAGTATGGGTAGATTACCTGGCCTGTCACTAGCCATAAAATGTAAATACAGGCAGACCACCCTACCCAGGAGAAAGAGCTAGGCCACAGGGTGTAATATTATGATCTTATTGTCCCACGGGTTACCTCAGATTTAAAGTCAGGGGATTATAAGAAAATCAAAAGGGCCTCCAACAACACCTGAAAGTCATCCCTGGACCAAAAATTAACTCCCAAAATTCCCCGGCTGAATTGCTGAGTCTCAAGAATTCACTACGGCAACAGGGAATTTCTGAGACAATAAAGTTGGGCAATAAAAAGAATGGCCAAGACATCAACACCTTGCTGGATACACAGCCCCAAGGCACTTATAATTATACAAATGCTTAAACCTTAAAATGCTTAAACATTAACCCATACATGCCAAATCTCCCAGATTATCTGGGAGTCTCTCAGATATGACACCAATCTCCTGGTCTCCTGTATGGGTCACCAAATCTCCCGGATAAAATCGAGTTATGAGCTTTTCTGTTTTAATTTGGAATTTATCCCATTTTCTCCCAAAATTCGAATTTTCTTTGATTCATAGTTTTGGTTTCTAGGGCATTTAAGCACGTATTTCATCACTGACAAAGATTATTTCGCCATCACGATCATAAAAAACAAATGGTGATGGTATGTATGTCATGTAAGACTTCATATAATGTCCTAAGCCATTCCTATGTGATAAAGTAGGGACTGGATCGAATTGTGCTTATCTGGGGGTTGGGGTCCAGGAAGTTGGTCGTTGATAGTCGGGGGTGGGGGGAGGGGTAATATAAAAGAGAGAGTCTCCAGATTTTAGATTTCCAGCGGGTGACATCTCTGTAAAACCGGCTCCTCCACCCTCCACCCTTCAAATAGGCACCCCCTTTAAATTAGTAACACCCTTTTAGATTTCAAATATGTATCATTATGTGCATGCGCAACAACAGAACTGTCACCCTACATGATGCAACAAGATTTCCTTCAATGATTTCCTTACCTGTCTCAAGTAATTTATTTACACTTTTGACAAAGTCTTTCGTTTTAATTTTAATAACTGGCTCATGGCATATATAATTGTTGCTGTTCCATTTCTGCTTATTCCTGTTACGATTATCTGAGTTTGTAGGGAAGCTGGCAGGAGAAATAAGCCTTTATCTGGCATCAAATGCTTCCTTTCTCACAGTCCTCAATTCAGTCAATAGCAATGAATTCTGCAACACCAAAAACGCCCAATTTCACTCAAATCAAAACTTAACAGGAACATTATACCATTGATCTGTAATTTTGAGAATGTTTATTGGTGTAGTAACAAACTCAACTGAGCACAATGCAAAGATTTTTGATGGGTTCTATAACACTATGTGTATCTTTTGAATTCGCAACATCCTGTGGAAAATCTAAGTTTGGTAGTAATGTGTGCAGTAATGGGATAGTGTTCTTTTAAGCTTCCGACCTTCCCCTTCATATGAGCAACCACCTTTAACACCCTGTCTTAATTACTGAATATGTGGTATACTTGACTTTTATTATCTTTCGAAAGGGTAGCATAAAACTTACAGTCAGAACAGAATAACATATTAGGGATATCACATAACCAGATGTTAATGAACCAGCTCCTCTGAAAACAGTGTTTGAGGATAGTTTTAATGGAAAGTTCCAAGCTAAGATTATGACCATAACAAAGTATCGGTATATTGAAAGATGCTTGCTTAGTTTTTTTGTCTGTTTGAAACAAAGACAAATGCTATCTTAAGGCTGAAATACAGAAAAATGAGCATTCCCTACAAATAGACACCCCCATTCCCTGCCACTAAAAATCAATTAAGCACCCCCTCCTGGGATTATTTCCAGATCTGCAGAAATCAAATTATTTGTCACCTTATAATTTATTGTATTACATAACCTGATCACAACATGTTCACCTACCCATAATACACCAGCATAGCCAGAATTGAGAAACAGTGTTTCTTAAGGTCTTTATTCCAAACAGTCTGAGCAGCACACAATTATAATGACATCATTTTCCTTGCATCAATTTTATGGTCAGTTTCACAACAACAATTACAGAATCTGGTACACTTCATCAGTGATACATGTAGTAAACAGTACTTGAGTCAAACCTCCATGTGGGACCACGCAGTCCCCTCATTGGTGACCACCTCCCATAAGTGACCAAAAAAAACACCAAAATTTCCCCAACTGCATCATTGCAGCTGGAATCTCTCATGAATGATCCCCTCTCATAAGGAACCACAAGTCCACTATTTTGGATGTCAGATGATATTAAAATTTCTAATTCTTTTTATTCCCTTGTAGCAAACAGTTGAGGCATTTTAATGTTCAATCTTCTTGTTTGCTGAATATAGTACACTATGCTCTAAGTATGTGAAAATCGTTAAGTGACACCAGGAATGTCACTAACATTTCATGTTGCCAGGTAAATAGAACAAGTGGGGGGTCGCAGAGGGCGGGAATAAAACAGCTAGGGATATTTTTAGGTTCTATTTTTCTTCTATTTTCCTATGAAAGTAGCTGTGGGCCACATTCATAAGCCAGGGTAAATCACTGGCCCCCGCCTCTTAATTACAGCCCTCATGGACACTATGATTAACTACACATATTGTAGATTAGAAATTACATGTGATGAATACTGTTCCAAAATGTAAATGTGTTGGGACCTTGATCTTCTAGGATTAAGGGACCCACTGTCGCATGTAAGTGACCACCTCCCTAAGATGACCACTCAATCTTTGCATTTTGGGTGGTCATCAACAAGAGTTTAGACTGAATTGAAATGAGAAAGAGGATACACTTGGAAGAAAATGGTAGCTACTAAAGCAAAGAAGAAACACTTAAGCAAATACAGAGATGATACAATTTGCTACTACTCATTGTAAAATGACAAGGAAAACAACATAATTGTGCAAAAACGTCTTGATTTGCAGGCACGAATATAAGCTAATGCAGGAATTAAAATTGCTGGTGTTACAATTAGCTTTGGGACACAATAGGCCACAAGTCCCAGCGACATGACATAGGTCCATTCGGCTGGTCACAAATGTAACTTGCTGTTTGGAAAAAATTCTGCTGCAAGGACAGATTTTCTTAGATATTCTATAGTTTATTGTGTTGCACAATCAAAGTGAATTATCACCGTGACCTGTGCCTGCAGACCTTTTGCAGTTACTTGTCACCTAGTGTAACTTTTCCAGGATTAAATCTAAAAGAAAAGCTAAAAAACAATTACCTCTGCTAGGAATCAAACTCTGAACCTTTGAGATCCTAATGGACCAGAGGTAATTGCTACCATGGAAACCACAATTTTACTGAGACAAGTTCAAAGTATTGTATTAAAAATAGATGATGTCACATTCTTTATCTCAAAAATCGAACCGTGTACTGTAGGATAGAGAAAACACCTTTGAAAAAATGATTTGAAATAAATGGTCAGACAACTGAGCTGTTGAAGCAACTTTGGAAAATATGATTTAAACAGGAGAGACCATATAGAGCTTCCAAAGCATTCTTTTTGCAAATATTGCTGGCTGGCTCTCTACTGATGTGGTATTATCATCTCATTCCATGACAACCCACCAAGAGTAACTTTGCACTTGAGTGACTGGTCAACAGGATGAAATGCCACTTAGCATCTGCTCTAGATTTATTTTATTTTAATTCCCTAAAATTCTCCTATATTGATGATATGATTTTGATTTTTCTATAGGTTGCTGTTTTTGTTATTTCTCGATGATAAGAAGAACTGTCTAGACTTGCTATTCACAATTTGAAACATGGAGCATTATTCCAGTAAAGAATTGAGAGATTACTTTAAATATTATGAAGGTAAATTACGAGTATTGAATCTGGAAGAAAAAGGACTCTTCACGGTACCTGATGCAGTCACTGAACTGAGTGAAATAGAGAAACTTTTGCTGGATATAAACAATCTGACTGAATTACCAGCAAGTATCAGTAAGCTGAAAAATCTTATCGTCCTCAAATTGGATGGTAACAAGCTACCAAAACTACCTGCTGAGATTGGTGACCTCAGGAAGCTGAGGGAGCTGAGTGTGAGTTTCAACCAGTTGGCTGGTTTACCTACCAGTATACAGAGGCTGACCAAGCTTGAAGGGCTGTACTTGAATGCAAATAAACTAACTGAACTACCTGCTGAGATTGGTGACCTCAAGGAGCTGAGGGAGCTGCGGGTGGGAGAGAACCATTTGGTTTGTTTACCGACCAGCATACAGAGGCTGACCAAGCTTAAATGGTTGAAATTGAGAGGAAATAAACTCACTGAACTACCTGCTGAGATTGGTGACCTCAGGGAGCTGAGTAAGCTTTTGGTGAATGACAACCAGTTGGTTGGTTTACCTAGCAGTATACAGAGGCTGAACAAGCTTGAGTGGCTGGACTTGAGTGGAAATAAACTAACTGAACTACCTGCTGAGATCGGTGACCTGAGGGAGCTGAGGATGCTGAATGTATTTAACAACGAGTTGGTTGGTTTACCTACCAGTATACAGAGGCTGACCAAGCTTGAAAGGCTGCGCTTGAGTTCAAATAATCTGACTGAACTACGTCCTGAGATCGGTGATCTGAAGGAGCTGAGGGAGCTGTGGGTGGGTGGCAACCGGTTGGTTGGTTTACCTGCCAGTATAAAGAGGCTGACCAAGCTTGAAAGGCTGCGCTTGAGTGCAAATAAACTAACTGAACTACCTCCTGAGATCGGTGATCTGAGGCAGCTGAGGGAGCTGTGGGTGACTGACAACCAGTTGGTTGGTTTACCTACCAGTATACAGAGGCTGCCTAGGCTTGAATGGCTGCGCTTGAGTGCAAATAAACTAACTGAACTACCTCCTGAGATCGGTGATCTGAGGGAGCTGAGGGAGCTGTGGGTGACTGACAACCAGTTGGTTGGTTTACCTACCAGTATAGAGAGGCTAACTAAGCTTGAATGGCTGCGCTTGAGTGCAAATAAACTAACTGAACTACCTCCTGAGATCGGTGATCTGAAGGAGCTGAGGGAGCTGTGGGTGGGTGACAACCGGTTGGTTGGTTTACCTACCAGTATAGAGAGGCTAACTAAGCTTGAAAGGCTGCGCTTGAGTGCAAATAAACTAACTGAACTACCTCCTGAGATCGGTGATCTGAGGGAGCTGAGGGAGCTGTGGGTGGGTGACAACCAGTTGGTTGGTTTACCTGCCAATATAAAGAGGCTGACCAAGCTTGAAAGGCTGTGCTCAGGTGCAAATAAACTAACTGAACTACCTGCTGGGATTGCTGACCTCAGGGAGCTGAGGCATCTGTTGTTGGGTAGCAACCAGTTGGTTGGTTTACCTACCGGGATACAGAGGCTAAGCAAGCTTAAAGAGTTGCACCTGGATGACAATAAACTAACTGAACTACCTGCTGACATTGGTGACCTGAGGGAGCTGAGTGTGAGTCATAATCCTTTAACTATTGACGCAATAAGATGTGCTCTGAAGTTGATGAAGAAAGGAGTACTTGTAAGTGGTGTTGCAGGTGAGCACAACGGATGTTTTAGTAATTTGGAAGTTCGAAAAAAAACGACATAAAATTCCAGTATTTGCCTGGGGAAGGGAAGTCAGTTTTGTTTTCAGTTATCGGGGGTTTCGCGAATTTGAGGGTGTGAGAAATCAGGATATGCTACAACTGTAGTTTCAATATCAATGGTAAGTTTCGTGTAAGTATTAGTTTGTTTTCATGATTAATTCGACTGTTTTAAATTTTCAAATCAACTGCGAAAAATAGCTTTTATAAAAATCATGGGAATAAGCATTCAAACATACAAAAGTAAAAGGTTAATGGCAAGACTCTGGGTAATTGTAATATCTAAGGTTAATGAACACCAAATACTGTATTCCATCACACCTCTACATATCGCAATATTAGTTAATCACAGGTTGTGTTTTCACTATGGTCGATTTGCTTTTGAGCTGAACATTTTTCCTAGTTGTTTGTTTACATACCGACGCTTACTAGTTAATTGTGACAGCTGTTTTCACTTTTAAATTTAGCTCGGAATAACTCAGAGGATTCAAATTAAAAAAGCACGCCACATTAAAAAATGTTAGCAGACGAAGCGCTATGAAGGTGTTTTCGTTTAATGATTCTCGCGGTTCAATAGTGTCTTTTAAAGAGTAAGAGGATAGGGAGAAATGTTGTAATCTTGTTTCAAAATCTAACCGAAAAACAATAGTAATTGCCGTAAGTAGCGTGGGTTTAACTCGGCGTGCACAATCGATGAAATTCAATAATCGAAAAAATGGATTGTAATCGATTTTAATCGATAGTAATTAAGCGATAAATATCGGTAATCGATAAATATCGGAAATGGGAAGAGTTGTGAGTATCAATGTTCATCCATTATATCGATTGTCAATGGTACAGTCGAAACCCGCTTTACGGGCACCCGCTTTTGACACGGACACCTCGTTATTACGGACAGTTTGCTTTGTCCTTGGGGAAAGCCCATATATTACTGGGCTGCCTGTGCGCCCAGTCATAAAATGGGCTTTCGGTCGTCTGCGGCAAAAAACGGCCTCCCGGGGGAGGGAAGACACGAGGGTCTGGTACGTAGAAACGATGTTCTCACAAATGGTTTCATATGATTTTCTCTTGCACGAACCCTTGCACGGATACTTTTTGTACCTCGTCTGCGCTCCCCCTGAAAAACCCACAAAGCGTTGAGAACCTGAAGAAGGCTATTTGCGTTGTTCGAAGCGATTCGATCATGGGAGTCACTCTATAATTTTTTTATTGTTCGAGTTTAAGTCAGTTAGATGATGTTGGCGCTGGGAAACTCAGAGAAATGCTCGCGTTGTATTCAAACCGACACGCCGTTCACGGTAGGTTCACACTAAAAGATGACTCTGAGCGTCACGTTTGGAACGCCGTGACCGCTTCGTGAACTCAAAGAGAGAATTATCGATCGATGTAGTACATGAGCAATTAAGAAGCACATTTATGAGCAAATTAAGGTATTTCACCAGTTGACGACACTATGGCTGAAGACTTGATTGTAAGCCTTCGTAGTCAGTGAAGCGAACAACTCAGTTGCCGATGAATGGCACTACGCACGTCCATGAGCGAGGGACATGACAACTTTGCCATATTAGAAGACTGGCTTTTCCTTTAAATATTTCCTTCTATTTGATGCAACACACGCCACTTTGGAGGTCTAAATTTCGGATACTGAGGATAAAGAAGATACGGACAAAAATAGGGACTCTGAGAATTTCGGACACAAGTTTAAAGCTTCACCGGGACATCCCATCCGCGAGCTTCACAGAGAGCGACTTGAGGAAAATAGGAACTATTACTGACAAGGTTTGGTGACTGAGTAGAGCATACAAGTGTAGCCCACGTCGAGGTTTCACGGGGTTTCCTTTTGTTTGTATTTGTATCTTGCTAAGCTTTTACCATTAAATTTGTACATGATCTTGTGATCACAATTCTGTGTTTTCGCCCATTCAGCAAGCACGCTATATTGATGTCAGCATTAGCGAGTTTCAGAAACATGCCTTTGAAAGTTTTCAGCTCTCGTGATGTTTCTTGATATTTCTTTTACCATTTTATGGAGATGTAAACTGAAGTCACCGCAAAATGGAAACTTAAAAAAGCGTATAATCCATTTATCTCGAAACATAACACACATGACTTATACGACCTTTATTTTCGTAAAGGTGTTTTGAATACGAACGAACACAGTCAATGTGAGGGGCAAAAACAGCATTAATATAAATGAACCATAGGGTTTTAGTAATATAAGGGTCAATTATTGTGCATTGAGATGAATCGCTTGAAAAGGGAGACCTCGCTTGAAGATGTGATCAGAAGTAAACAAAGGCATAATAGTGCGTCACGTTCAGTCTTTTTAATATCCAAGGAGTCACTGTGAATAGTGATGTCAGGGGCACCCAACGAGAATATAGTTCAAAACCACTCAACATAGCATTGTTAAACGTATTTTAGTATTTAAACGGTAGATTTAGGCATAATTTTATCCCCTAAACATTTTTTATCTGTTCGGATTTCCTAGCTGAAAGTCTAGTGATCCGAAAATTATAGGGATCAAAACTTACCTTTTCGAAAATTTCAGCCAGAAAAATGGCTGCCGAAAATTCTAGGTGACCTTTTTAGGGTAAAAATCCGTAAAAATGGGCAATTATACCATTTTTTAGCTGTTCGAAAATCCTAGGAGAGGCAGGCAAGCAAGAAATCTTACGACAAATGTTCCGAAAATTCTAGATCTCAAATCGTCTTCCGAACAGATATTTCCCGAAAATTGACGTTGGGTGCCCCTGATAGTGTTTCCATAATGTTTAGCTGGCACAAAAACTTCGGACGAGTTATAAAGCGGCATAGTTATCTTCCATGAAGAAAAGTTCGTCTTGGGTGAGACAAACAGAACTGGAGCGAATTTTTAACTCGCATCGGTATCAGGTAAAAAATATGTTATCGATCGTTTCATCTATTTACCTTGTTTGAAGTGCGTGCTGGTGAACTCAACATGCGAGCGAGAAATCTTTACACTTTTTTAGGTCTCGAAATGCAAAGGATTTTATTCCTTTAAGTTAGAGAAAAATACCATGAGGAAAATCTTAAAACTGAATATTTTTCATCTTGTGGAAAAAATAGTGCGTTTTCTTGTAGACTGTGGACCGCAAATTAGGATCGCACTTTTCACAAACATGCGAATTCTGAAGTTCAAAAGCCAACCGACGATTGCGTTTTTCGCTGCCGTCAATCATCTTAACGGACCTCTTAGGAAACAAAACTTTACTTCACGGGTTCAAAAGGTCTTGGTTTGTGATTTGTGGATTTCGATCCGTTTTGTGTGTTTCTCTGTTTCAAGGTTCGTTGCTTGTGATCGTAGTTATGATTGACGGCAGCGATAAACACAATTGTGAAGGTGGCTTTTGAACTTTAGAGTTCGCATGTTTGTGAAAAGCGCAGTAAAGTCTCCGTGAAGTCAGTGAGGCCCCTGCATCAGGCGGGATCAATGGGCAGTTAACTGTCTGTTTTAGTATACTTCTGGTTTTCATACAATACAATATTTCTGTCTAGTGTAAATCAGCTCAGTCTGTCGCATGCTCGTAGAACGACAACAATTTTTGGAATTTCCAGTTACGTCAAATTAGTCGCGTTATACTGTCACGCTATATTTTGGGGCACGGAGGGATTGGGGGAGGGGTACGTGGAAATAATGCAAATTGTTTCCTGCCTAGAATTAATGGCTAACTTGTTTATTTTTATTCATAATGGTGGAATTTAAAAGTTATTATACAGCCCCCACTTAAAAATGGTACTCTTTTTTTTTTGGTTATGAAAGTCTTTCAAAAGGGTCAGTCTCACATGAGCTTCTGTCGCATGCAATGGTTGCTGACAAGGTTTTATCGTAACCTGAGTGTGTATAGCCGCCCCCTGCCTTCAGAAAAAATAGCCCCTTTGCAGCCCAGTTAAAAATCGCCTTTCGGCGATTCTTGTTTTCTCTAAATTCAACCCGCTTAATACGACACCCTTTAATGGGGACAAGGGACACTTTTTTCCTACCCAATGGACAGATTCTCATAGAGAGTCAGCCTCGTTAATGCGGACACTTCATTATAAACTGTGCGCCGTAATAGGCGATTGCTTTTTCAGGGTAAAAAAACCTTTCAATTACAGCATGTTGATGTCCCCAGCCCTACGGTAAACCGGATAGAATGATTTATAGACCTCAATTTCAAACTTATTTTTCAGGAATCAAACTAGTTTATGTAGAGAACACAGTGCCGGATTAAGTAATATATAGATGAGCGATTTTATAGTGTTTTCGTGGAGTTAGGTCCGCGAAATAAATGTTGGAGATGTTTAATTTGACGATTAATTTGACGATGCTAATATCCTATTTTATTTCTTCATTTTATTTTGTATTTTGTTCTAACAAAACATGACCCGCTGTTCGTAATATGACCCGCTAAATACGGACACCCCGTTAATACGGACACTTTCTATGGCCCCTTCAGTGTCCGTATTAACGGGTTTCCCTGTAATCATTCAATTATAATTTCAGATATGTTTGAGCCACGCATTAGTAATCAAAAGTCTTCCTTATTCGACACTTATTGTCGATTTTTACCTCGAGGACAAAAGATTCACCCGTCCTTACTGTAAATGGGCACTGCATGCACTGTTGGTAGCCTCTATTAAAACGTTCATTTCGCCGGTCATTTGAGAAGACTTCAACAATTTGACTTGTACGCAAACGGACGCCTGTAGGTTTGTTTTGCAACTTAGTTTTTGTTGTTGTCCCTAGCAGCATGCACGGCAATAGTGTAAGTGAATTGTCTACCCCCCCCCCTAACATGGACGGCCAGGTGTCTTGCCTTTCACCCGAAACCTGCCAAGTACGGTTGTGCCCACTAGGGACTGTGGTCCCAACTGGTATAGCTTCCAGGATCACAAAGGCAACCAAACCTTCCCACCGCTTAAAAGGCATAACGCTTAGGGAGGTGCAAACAAACTACAGAATAACTTAAACAAAACACAATGCCATTAAATTATTGAGCGCAATGTCTCGAATTAGCGCCCGGACGCTTATACAGTTATGGTTTTTCCAATTAGGGCGCTTATTAGAGACAGGGCGTCTATTTCTTTTAGATTGCGAAACAAACTCTGGAATCAAGGACGCTTGTCTATAAAGGCGAATTTTCGTCTGCTATAAGAGGACATCATGTCCACAAAGCGACTTAGTCTCAAACTAAAGGACAGTCTGGCATTAGGGAAGGTAAATAAGCCAAACAACACGTTGAATTCACAGTTGGGACTTCAAGCTGACAAAAGACATGTTCCCATGGAACTTTCCTTCCTTATATTTCTTTTATTATTGTTATTATTATTATTTTTATTTTCTCCATATATTTTATATTACAGGCCATTTATATTATATTACAAATTTGAAGATATTATTCTTAAGATTTTAATATCGGATTACAAGTCAGAACAAATGGAGAAGGGCAAGATATAGTGAACTAGTTACATGCCATTTGATTAAATTACAGTTTCATATTAGGATAAAAGAGAAAAAAAGAGAAGTATATAAACTATAAGGAAAGTACACACACGCATAATAAAATATAGAACATTCAAGGGTCGGTTTGGCCAAGATTAATTCTGAGTAAGATAATAGTAATATAGTGCTCTGTTAAACAATGTTTTAGTTGTCTTTTCACGTCTAGCTAGAGGAATATCATTCCAGTAACAACATCCTATAACTGGGGCTTATATTCCTTATATTCTGCGGACAGTGGTTTCTCCAGGCCGGATACTAGGCTACGAAGGGAGACCTGCTCGCAGGGTACCTTTCTTAAAGCCTGCCGAGACAACAAAGTCCAAGTGAAGGTGAGGGTATGAAAAAGACTGGAAAATGGACTTGTTGTCACTAAATCCTTCTTGGCTAGAGCGACCAGCACAACAATTGCCTCAAAATCTGAAGGGGAGATCACTCGTTTGAAGGAACTGTGCACTTACATGGACGTAATAATTGAGAGACTGAGACGAAGACAACTGTTTTTGAAATGAGGCTTTAAGTGAGCAGTTATGGAAAAATGAAGTACGGTTGATCTCAGTTTATTTTCTAACGGTGCTATCCCTGATACACAATGGGGGTGGTTGATGATGATGATGATGAAGAGAAAGTTTTATTGAAAGTAATACCCACAAGACTCACAAGCATACGTGTGAGTAAACAAGAATAGCAGAATAATATATATTAATACATAAGATGTAAACTGAAAATCTGAATAAAATTAAAAACACATCGATTGATAAAACGTCGCATGAACCTTTCCGTCCTAAAAAGCGGGAAAACGTAATCGTGGCCCTTAACTCGTAGTTTCCGCGTACGCTTCATGGGGAGAAGATCATTTAAACAGTGATTGTCAGTGGCTACCTTCTTCCACAGTTTTAAATCTCTTTCTCGTATTATTAATATCAGTTATGGGAGTAAACATAGCAGTATAGCCATATTTTACTGCACGCTTACAAAACCTATCAATCTGAGAAAGGTATTTACTATCACAGGCACAGGCCCAGACTTCAATAGCATAACTGAACAAGGACATAATAATGGCTATCAAATAGCAGTGTTAGCTCCCGTAAAGAGTATCCATAATATTTAGAAATCCTTAAAGTATATTATCTAGAACTAGCCGTAGAATGAATGATATGGTCGAAATGCGTGTCCTAATAACTTGAGTTCCCCCTTCATCTCTTTCATGGGTTCCGGGATTGGTTTCTTAGTATTTCCTCTAACCACCATTTCTCACGTCGTTTTGAGGTTTAAGGTTATACGGTTCTCAATAGACCAGCGGAGGATATTCTGCACCTCGACTAAATATCTTATAGGGACACTCAAAGTAGTGTCGTCAGCATACTTCAATAGAAGGTTTTTGTTTGGATGTAAGACCGTGAAGTCACTTACCGTAAAAAAAAAAAAAAAAAAAAAAAAAACAAGACAGGACAGGAACACAGTTCCTTTTGGGACTCCTCTATTGATGTCCACTAACTTTGTTAACACTCCATCAGCAAAAGCCCTTTGCTTTCTATTACTCAAGAAGCTTATAATCCAGTTGATGACATGCAAGGACATTCAGTAAAATTATGTTTACCTTAGATTTGTTTTAATAACTTAAAACACCACACTGAAGATCACAAGAAGGACAATTAACACTGGTGTAGGACTAAGTCTCTGATGGAAGTTACCCTCTCTCCCCGCCATGACCTTCTAGCCAAGAGAGGATAAAGAGGAAAGAGAAGGCATCCCCCATACACCCCCTATTCCATAGGTAATTCGTCTCGAGTTATTTTTAGAATCGTGATAAAGTTACCTCGCGCGCTGCGTGGATGTTTCGTGGAGGTTTCGCATGACTAAACGCCATGCAAAACATGTCGGGCGAAAGGCAATGAAAGCGTAAAGAGATCGAGAGCATTCCTGAATATTGAAGCGAAATTAGTCTTTGACAACCCGTGAAATCAGTTTAACTCGAAGTTGTCGTAACCTCAGTGCTTTAATAAAATGAGAAATTTCGCCGGTCTGTTGAAACCGGTCGTTTGTACAATAGGGAGCTTTAGCATCGACGATGGCAACGGCAGCGAAAACGTCAGTTTTAAAATGAATTTCGTTTTTCAATCCTTGTCGCCTTTATTCCAATTTGCTGAAAATGGCAAGTGTAGGCGAATTTCCCTGGAGTTGATTTCTTGAGGACCGCGCTCAAGTTTAGAGAGAGAAAAAGAGATTCGTTGTCGCTTGTTTACGTCCTCCATAAAACTTGCAATTAGGCATTTTCACGTCGTAGTCGTACAAGGACGGTAAAGAAATGTACAAAAAAGCGTGATGCACGTGCAAAGTTGTTGTTTTGCGTAGTAAACCTATTGCTTTTTTCACGTCATCTTTGCCGGACGCCAAGTGTTATTTTTGTTAAATAAAAAAAAACTTATAAAAGAATAAATATCAAACCAGAAATTACTCTCTTTAAACTGTAAATTATAAATGATCCTGAGAGAATATTCAGTGTGTTAAGTATTTCCCTGCTGTACTGTTAGCTCTATACAAGAGAGGAAGGGCGATTCTTTTTTAATTTCCGTTTCGCAGACACAGCTGTAGCAGAAATCTCTCTGTAGTCGTTTTCGTCGACAAAACGAATGGCAATATCACTCTTCGCATCTTCCGCCATTTTGTTCTGCGTCAATTCCTGAAGGGCGCGTGGCTCTGAGCGTGGGTCATCCACGCGCAACACATTGGCGCTGTGATTTGCTGTTGTCTAATCCCCCTTGAGATCTGTGGTGTTAGAAATAACTCGAGACGAATTACCTATGGAACAGGGTGTGTATGGGGGATGCCTTCTCTGTCCTCTTTATCCTCTCTTGCTTCTAGGTCAGTCAAGTGAACTGGAAGCCAATGAACTACACAACCTCCAAGACATTACGTACCTTTAATAAATCGTTTTTCTACTAGCTCCTTTAGAAATAGAAGCACGTGGAGAAAAAGCACAGCTCGCTTATCAAAGTGCTCTTAAAGATGGAGCTGTCAATGTTTACCGTGGTCGAGTATTGCTTATTGGGCAGGATCGGGCTGGAAAAACAAGTTTAAAGAAGTCTCTCATTGGTCTACCATTTAATCCAAAAGAAAAAAGTACTGATGGAATTGAAGTGGATCCATCAAAATTTCAGTTGGACGTTGATGAAGTCAGGAATTGGCAGCCTATTGATGAGAGAAAGCAAGAGTTCCTAGGATGTTCGAAAGATGTGGCACAGGTGATGGTGGAAAAGATGTATAATAATATGTCAGTTAGCCGTGACTCGGTTCAGGAGGAGGAAAGAGGTGAAGCAATAGTTCAAAATGATGATAACAAGAATAGTAAACAGGTTGGTACTGATGCAGAAGAAGAAGAAGTTTCTCTTGTGAACCAGGTTTGTGTTTTGTCTTTGAAATGTGATATTTTTTCGTGAATTCTTCGTTACTACGAGAACGTTGTTCATAAGTTAGGTTTTAGTGAGAAACTCACCACGGCTTCCCTGCCCTTTACTACGATGTCCGTATGGGAAATATGTAATAATTGCCAGATAGTGGTTTTTCAGTCCTGGTTAAAAATTTAACGTTTTATACTTGTCTAGTAAGTTCAGTTCCGGGTGAAGAATTATACTACTATCAGCCATTTTCTTATACCTTCATGGTTGTACCCATCTACTCGTAAGCTTAGCCTTTGGGTTATTATATTAGTGAGTGTGCAAACCAAAGTGAGTATAGCCGTGTCTTTATTTATACTTTTAAGAGTTAATTAGGCCTTGACTATAGCTTTCGCTCAGTTTTTTTTGTTTGTCGATCACAATTTCCCTATACTATTTTCTTTTTCTTTCTTTTTTTTATGCGAAGAGCAAGGCCAAGGGGTTGGGGGACTCAATCAAACACCATATTTCTTTATATTCTTAAATTCACTGTTCTTTAAAAAATGCAAGAGCGTATTAAAGGGGCTATGTCACGCCACACGCATGCGCGAGCCAATGAAAACAAACTTGAAAAAGTCGGCCCGACTTTTTCAAGTTCTGTCGGAGATTTTGGAAGGCTGTTTTTATCTGTCTAAATCTCAGCCATCGTTCGATAGTTAGCGAAGTTTTGTATTAAGAATCGTTCTATGGTGATTACAGAATAATTTTTTGGCGTTGTTTTGAAATTGTTTGCCTGTGGAATGTTTTTACGTGGATTTACTGTGTTCTCTTATCAGCGGCCGTTGTAATGGCAGAGTTAATAGGGAGCTTAAGCAAAGGCGTTTTTGAGCGACGGACGTCAACCGGAAGTGAGATATTTTCCTCTTAACATGCCTTGATGATATAAAATTTGTATTCCTTAGCTTCTTTACTGTTATAGAGGCGATTTGACTGAAAATTTGCGCGAAACCACCGTCAAAAAATCAAAAAAGGCCACTTCCGGTTGACGTACGTCGCTCAAAAACGTTGTTGCTTAAGCTCACGGCTACTCCTCAAAGAATGATGGAATCTTTGATGGAATCTTCCCTATATGTTATAGTATGCTTTATGTCAGGGACTGGGCCCGAGTTTGGTGTCTCTTTGGGCCCGCCATCTTGCTACTTGTGTGTATTAAAAGGTTGTGTTCATCTATCCGTTCTCTCGTGTCACATATCATAGTTTATCCAGGATACTTTAACATGGTGGCAGCAGTGGGATGATTCTACACGCCGAGTGACGTTTTGACTCATAAAACATTGAGGTGAACCCGATGAACCAGGATTACTAAGTCAACCATTCGTAGCGTGCAGCCGAGTATCATCGCAATTCTACCGGCCGACACAGTTTTCTCACAAACATGGGCGAGCTTTCGGGAATTAAGCCGCCTCAGATGGAATGGAATGACTCTGACTTACCCATGGCATTTAAAAGCTTCAAACAATATTGCCAGCTAGTCTTTGATGGGCCTTTGAACGCGAAAGAGGACAAAGTCAAGGCAACCTATATTCTGCTCTGGATCGGCGAAGAGGGCCGGAAAATCTTTAACTCTTTTGACTTGACCGCTGATGAGAAAGCGAAACCTGACGCAATTTTTGACAAGTTTGCAACATATCTGGAACCTAAGTCAAATTTTCGGATTGCAAGATACCAACTACAAGGCTTCAAACAAGCTGATGATGAAAGTGTAGATTCGTTCATGGCCAGGTGCAAAATACAAGCCCAGAAATGCCGATTCAGTGACGCCGAACTAGAGGAGCGGTTAATTGAGCAATTAATTATTGGTACTCGCGAAAGAAAGATACAAGAAGTCCTCTTAGGAAAAGATGATAAGTTAAAAGCTTGACAAAGCCATGGACATTGCCCGGACAAGGGAAGCTACGGTAAATGATATGAAATCCCTTGACCAACAAGGTGCGTCAGCACCCGCTCGTTCTCATGACACTAACGTAGATGCTATCAGACAGAATTCCAACCTCAGATGTGGAAAATGTGGTCTCAGCCATGAAAAAAAAGTGCCCAGCTCAAGGTACAAGGTGTAGAAAGTGTAACCAGTGGAACCACTGGGAACAAGTGTGCAGAAATAAACAAGCACAGGATCGGAAAGCTAAACCTTCACTCCGGAAGCAGCCTGGGGGCTGGATACCGCACGCCAAGTCAAGTCAGAACAAGATACACACAGTTGAGGAGACAAATTCAGACTCTGATGAGTTGTGTTTCGAGACAATTAAAATTGACAGTTCCAATGTTACTCCAGTAAAAGATGAAGCTTTTGCAAAGCTCCAAGTAAAGTTGCCTAATGTTGATCATCCTAACCCTGTGCTCAAAGTGAAAGTAGATACTGGCGCCCAGGGAAATATTCTGCCTTTGCGAATTTATCGGAACATGTTTCCACACCATGTGGGTGAAAATGGCCTTCCCACGGAGACAACACCGAGTCAGACCAAACTGACTGCATACAATGGCACCCAAATACCCCAGCATGGAGTATGTTCTATCAGGTGCTCTTATGGTGACAAAGCAACTGATGCAATGTTTTATGTTGCTGATGTCACCGGCCCCGCTATTTGTGGCCTACCCACCTGTTGCCAACTTAACCTGGTGGAGTTACACTGTGCAGTAGGCACATGTTCTAGCAAAGTGCCTCTCCCAGCAGTTAAGGATAAAGGTGACCTCAAGCTTTGTACCCTGACCGTTTTGATGGCATTGGTAAATTTGAAGGGGAATACCACATTGTCACTGACCCGGATGTGCCACCTGTAGTTCATGCACCACGGAAGTGCCCAATACACATCAAGGATGATATTAAAAGGGAGCTTGATGAAATGGTCCATCTTGAGTCATTAAACCTGTGACCGAGCCCACAGACTGGGTTTCAAGTGTGGCTTACTCCCAAAAGTCAAATGGACGATGGCGCGTATGCCTTGACCCTAAAGATCTTAACCAAGCTGTCAAGAGAAGCCATCATCATACACCTACCCTAGAGGAAATCACCCACAAGTTCAAAGGAAGCACAGTATTTTCAAAACTGGATGCCCGTCATGGTTATTGGTCCGTAGTGCTCGATAAAGAATCCTCTTACCTTACCACCTTTAACAGCCCGTTTGGTAGATTTAGATTTACTCGTCTTCCCTTTGGACTCTGTGTTAGTCAGGATATTTTCCAACAGAAGATGGATTTTATCCTTGAGAAATGCCCAGGAACAGTTGGCATTGCTGACGACATTGCAGTTCATGGTCCTACCGAGGAAGAACATGATGCCAATTTGCACAACCTGATGCTAGTCGCGCGGGGAGCATGGACTTGTCTTCAACCTAGACAAATGTATTATTAAAGAAGAACTGATAACATTCTTTGGAATGTTATTTGATACTGAAGGAGTGCACCCTGACCCAGAAAAGGTGGAAGCTATCCGAGCCATCCAGGTCCCACAGGATGCCCAAGAACTCCAGTCTTTCCTTGGTATAGCAACATACATGGCCCCTTTCATTCCAAATCTGTCTGCTCTGTCTGAGCCTCTGAGGAACTTGCTTAAGAAAGGCAGTGACTTCCACTGGTCTCCTTCCCACAGTACAGCTTTTGAGAAAATCAAGCAGTCAATCTGCCGTCAAGTCTCCCTTACGTATTTTGATCCTAAGAAGGACACAATCCTCCAGGTTGATGCCTCCCTTAGGGGACTCGGGAGTGCGTTAGTGCAAGAAGGCAAGATTGTTGCTTTCGCATCTAGAGCACTCACGGACACGGAAAAACGATATGCAAATATTGAGCGTGAGATGCTTGCTGTTGTTGTTGCTTGTGAGAAATTTCACTCCTACTTGTTTGGCAAGAGGTTCATGGTTGAGTCAGATCACAAACCTCTTGAGATGATTCATTTGAAGAATCTTACAGCTGCTCCTCCAAGACTCCAGAGAATGTTACTCAGAATACAAGGATATGACTTCACTATCAAGTACAAACCTGGCACAGAAATGCTTCTTGCTGACCCAATGTCAAGACTAAACCCTCTACCAAATGAAGAGTCACTGGACCTTCAGAAAGTATGCCTAGTGCGATTCTCTGATGATAAGTTGAATGCCTTGAGGCGAGACACGTCCTGTGATCCTGAACTTTCAGCCCTACGAGAAATTATCTACTCTGGCTGGCCTGAAAAACAGAAACAAGTTCCAGTGCCATTGAGGAAGTTCTGGGCCTACCGTGACGAGTTATCTATTGAAAACGGTCTAGTACTCAAGGGAGAAAGAGTGATTATTCCGGAATCACAAAGAGATGATATCTTAGAGAAGATACATCAGGCTCACCAAGGTGTTGCGAAGTGTCAGCTACGAGCAAAATCCTGTGTATTTTGGCCCAATATTAACAAGGACATTGAAGCTAAAGTCCAGAAGTGTGAAATTTGTCAAGAAAGCCAAACCACACAAACCAAAGAAACACTGGAACCACATGAAGTACCTACTAGACCATGGCAAGTAGTTGGTACTGATCTATTCACATGGCATGGGGACGAATATCTGCTTATGTGTGATTATTACTCCAAGTTCCCCATCATCAAGAAAATACCAAGTGGACAATCCACTGGACAAACAGTTGTAAGGCTTACAAAGTGCGTGATGTCAGAACAAAGGTGTACCGAAAGTCATAATTTCGGACAATGGTCCACAATATGACTGTCAAAGCTACAAGCAGTTCTCTAACGAATGGGGCTTCCAACACATAACGTCCAGCCCCAGATACCCACAGTCCAATGGGTTTATTGAGCGACAAGTCCAGACTGTTAAAAACACTTTAGACAAGGCTGTAAAATCTGGAGAGGACCCTTACATGTCAATGCTCTGTCTTAGATCTACTCCGATTGATTCACAGCTTCCGTCCCCTGCTGAATTACTGTATCAGCGTAAACTTCAAGCAAATCTTCCGGTCAGAGTGGACAATCGAATACCTGACAGGGACAAAGTCGCCCAGCGCCTGACAGAACGTCAGCAGTCCATGAAACACTACTATGACCGGAATGCGCATGATCTAAGTCCCCTGACAACAGGGCAACCTGTACGCATACAGGACCAAGCTTCAAAGAAGTGGTTACCAGGAACTGTGAGTTGCACAAGACCTGAGCCGCGGTCATATGAAGTGAAAACCCAATCTGGTTCAATCCTTCGCCGTAACAGGCGCCACCTTCGCCCGGCAAACACGGGTCAACCTGTGATTAGCTCTGAGGATGAGCCTGCAATCACCGAGTCTGATGACCCTGTTGTTGAACCCTCTCATGATATTCCGAAGTCTACTAAGGCACCGCACACCGTTGTGTCCAGTCCTACAAGAGATGTTGGTCTCACCCCTGGATCCCCCGGTGCTAGTGCGAACCCTGGGACCTATCGGACCAGGAGTGGGCGTACAATTATAAGACCTGCTCGTTTTACTGAATAGAACCTTTTGTTTTAGGAGTTGAGCGCCTATACCAGTTCGTTTGTTCAAGTTCACACTTACCACGCGTACTCCATTGTTATACCAATTTAGGATTTAGTGCAGTGACTTTTGATGCACACCATATGTTGCCAGGATTTGTTGAGACTTTACCAAGGACTTCCCACCTTGCGGAATAGTGGATTTTTACTCTTGACTTTTAAGAACTGATTACCTTTAAGGACTCTTGTTCAATTCCTTTTTGTACAGTAGGAGGGATGTTATAGTATGCTTTATGTCAGGGACTGGGCCCGAGTTTGGTGTCTCTTTGGGCCCGCCATCTTGCTACTTGTGTGTATTAAAAGGTTGTGTTCATCTATCCGTTCTCTCGTGTCACATATCATAGTTTATCCAGGATACTTTAACACTATAGTTCATAGAACCTTTCTATTGAGTTATTTTAGAGGCTGCTGGCTCTTGGAGTTTTGTTGTGCTCAGAGTATGTGGACATATAATGAAGCGGCTATCGAGTTGGCGGCGGCCGTTTTTTGTAAACGATTACAAGAGCATCAGGCCATGAGTTTCGAGACGAAACTAAACTCCTGGCGAAGGAAACATTATAAAATTCGGCTAGATTCCTTCTTCTATTTATCTGTATTCACGGCAAAGATAAACACGACCGTTTGATCGTCCAGATTGTTCTCAACGGACTTAGACAGGCACCTTAGTACGAGTTAGATCCTGTAAATGCCATGTTTTTGAACTGTTTGTGTTCGAGCATATTTTTGGAAAACAGCAGAGTTTACTTTCCCTTTTTATTAACGGACTGCTTATAGTGGAGTAGTATACCAATGATGCCTGGTTCTGTTTTTCTCGACGTCGCAGTGATTCGGCACGATCGAACAATTTTGGGTAATGGGTTCATGATAACCGTCACGAATATAGAGACATTAAGTGACCACTTAGCCCTCTATGAGAATGTTGATGTAATTGCTGTAGTTACTGTAGTTGGTGTAGTAGCTGTAGTTGGTGTAGTAGCAGTAGTTGGTGTAGTAGCTGTAGTTGGTGTAGTAGCTATAGTTGGTGTAGTTAGTGTAAATGGTGTAGTAGCTGTAGTTGCTGTAGCTGGTGTAGTAGCTATAGTTGGTGTAGTAGCTGTAGTTGGTGTAGTTAGTGTAGTTGGTGTAGTAGCTGTAGTTGGTGTAGTAGCTGTAGTTGCTGTAGTTGGTGTAGTTGGTGTAGTTGGTGTAGTTGGTGTAGTAGCTGTAGTTGGTGTAGTTGGTGTAGTTGGTGTAGTAGCTGTAGTTGCTGTAGTTGCTGTAGCTGGTGTAGTAGCTATAGTTGGTGTGGTAGCTGTAGTTGGTGTAGTTAGTGTAGTTGGTGTAGTAGCTGTAGTTGGTGTAGTTAGTGTGGTGTAGTAGCTGTAGTTGGTGTAGTTAGTGTAGATGGTGTAGTAGCTGTAGTTGCTGTAGTTGCTGTAGCTGGTGTAGTAGCTGTAGTTGGTGTAGTAGCTGTAGTAGATGTACGAACTGTAGTTGCTGTAGTTGGTGTAGTTGGTGTGGTAGCTGTAGTAGGTGTAGTTGATGTAGTAGCTGTAGTTGGTGTAGTTGCTGTAGTTAGTATAGTTGGTCTAGTTAGTGTAGTTGGTGTAGTTAGTGTAGTAGCTGTAGTTGGTGTAGTTCCTTTAGTTAGTGTAGTTGGTGTAGTTAGTGTAGTTGGTGTAGTTAGTGTAGTAGCTGTAGTTGGTGTAGTAGCTGTAGTTGGTGTAGTTGGTGTAGTTAGTGTAGTTGCTGTAGTTAGTATAGTTGCTGTAGTTAGTGTAGTTGGTGTAGTTAGTGCAGTAGCTGTAGTTGGTGTTAGTAGCTGTAGTTGCTGTAGTTAATGTAGTTAGTGTAGTTGTTGTAGTTGGTGTAGTTGATGTAGTTAGTGTAGTTGGTGTAGTTACTGTAGTTGCTGTAGTTGGTGTAGTAGCTGTAGTTGGTGTAGTAGCTGTAGTTGGTGTAGTTAGTGTAGTTGGTGTAGTAGCTGAAGTTGCTGTAGTTGCTGTAGCTGGTGTAGTAGCTGTAGTTGGTGTAGTAGCTCTAGTAGGTGTAGTTAGTGTAGTTGGTGTAGTAGGTGTAGTAGATGTAATAGTAATAGTAATAAATTGCTTTATTTGCATGACCGCATCATTTTACAGTATTGCAAAAGCATGTATATGACAATCAAAATATAAAACAAAACAGCACTAATAATAATCTAGAAAAATTCGGTTACATTACTAACAATGAATCACGTATTTTCATGCAGGAGGAAACAAACTTCATAACTAACTTATTTACATGATGTTCCTTCGAATTCATTATCAGTTTTATGCTTTCTGGAGATGATTTCTTGTCAAAGTCAGGTATTATTCGATTGATTTGATTAATAAATGCCTGTCTCTGTACTGAGTATTTGTTACATTGAAAGAGGAAATGAATCTCATCTTCTACCTGATTTGAGTTACATAAAGGACATAATCTATTTTCTCTTGGCAAATGATCGATTTGGTATCGACCATGTTCAATCATAAGTTTGTGATTACTTATTTTAAATTTAACAAAATTCTGTCGTTCGTCATAATGTCTTAGCTGGTAGAGATAATCAGATGTAGAATATTCATCTTTAAAATTTTTATAAAATTCTAGTTTTTGTGAATTTTCGAGGCTGTGCCGCCAAAACGATAGATATTTCTCTCTCATTTCTGTGGTATATCGTCCAATTTTATCATTATCTAGAGATTCAGCATCTAAACTGGTTAGATTGTATTGTTCAAGCATGTTTATGAAATTGGAAAAATACCCGGAATTATTCATAGAATGTAGATTCTTTGACATAAGGAAAGACTGTTTGACTATAGAGTCATTATCTTTGTTGTGGAGGTAAACAAAATATTTCATAATTTTCTGATTTATCGGGATAAGCAGCGGCAGTCTATCAAGTTCAGCTCTGCAGGCTATGTTAGAGGCCTTATTGTTAACCTCTAAGTAACGTTTACAGAATTTGAGGTGGATTTTTTCTATTGGGGAGCTATCCCATTTTTTAAAATCTTGCTTGGTGTACATTCCCCATACCTTGTAACTCAAGATTGGGAATACCATGGTGTCAAAAATTTGGGATGCAGTATTAGGATTAAGTTTGTTAAGAATTGTCCGCTTCCGAATACTAGAAAACGCGTGAAGGGCCTTTTCTTTTAAGTGTTCGAGTGCAAGTGTAAAGTTTCCCGTTGGAGTTAAACGTGTACCTAAATAAGTGTATTCTTGGACAATTTCAATTGACTCACTGCCTATGTTGAATTTGATGTCAATAGATTTTTTTTGGGCGTTTCTGGAATATCATAATTTTTGTTTTCTTCGGATTAATTTTTAGCTTCCATTTGTCACAATACAAAGAAAGCATTTAAAACAGTTCTGTAATCCAGTTTTCGATCTTGATAGAATAACTAAATCATCTGCGTAGAAAAGTGAATTTATTTTTTTCCCATTTGGGGAACAAATGGGTCAGATAAGGTGTTTTCGAATAAAAGTGGTAGATTGTTTAAATAGAGGTTAAATAAAAGAGGGCTTAAAATACAGCCTTGACGTACACCTCTGGAATATGAAAAAAGGCTGTGTTTTGTTTTCACCGATTTTGATGGAACATGTCGAGTTGCAATAAAGACTTTTCATGAGGTTGTACAAGTTTCCTCCTATATTCGTTTTTAGCAGCTTATAAAACAATCCTTCGTGCCAAACAGAGTCAAACGCTTTGCGGAAATCTACGAAACAAGCGTAGACTTTTTCCTTGTGATAATGCACATATTTATCTATTAGGGTCCTTAGAGTGAAAACATGGTCTGCAGTGCGGTTTTCAGGCAAAAAGCCAATTTGGGAATTATGTAATATCTTATTTTCCTCAAAATACAAGTGAAGTCTTCGATTTAAAATAGAACAGAACAGTTTGCCAAGGCAACTAGAAACACATATGCCTCTGTAATTTGTTGGATCACTCTTGTCACCAGATTTGTAAATTGGGGTTATGAGGCCTTGACACCAAACATCTGGCATTTTTCCGGATTGTAAAATGAGGTTAAAAAGTTTGACATAGACAGGCATTAGTGGTTCGAGGCTTGCTTTGATCATTTCATTTCGTATTTTGTCAACAAATGGTGATTTCTTATTTTTCAATTTCTTCGCCGCTTGACGTATTTCCCTCTCAGTTATCTCATAATCGAGATGGTTAAACTGTTCCTTTTCGTGTTCTAAAGAATTTAGTTCCCTATGGATTTCATGTTCATGCGTGGAATTCGTCGGGTCAATAGAATGCAGAGATTTGAAATGGTGAAGCCATGATTCTTCCGAGATTGGGGCAGGAACATTTTCGTTGAAAGTGTCGCTCATCGAATTTAAACAATTCCAAAATGACGCCTTGTCAGGATTTAAAGCTAGTTCATCGAGTTGTAATGTTTTTTCTTTGTGGAATCCTCTCTTCTTTGTGTCTAGGAGCTTTTTGTAATCATTCAAGGTTTTGTGATATCTTTCCCGCACTTCGGAGTTGAGGGGGTCACGGTGCTTTTCATTTGAGACTTTTCGTAATTCATGCCTTTTCAAGCGACATTCACAGTCGAACCATTTCTTGTTGGATGATTTCTTAATACGCTTATAAGTTTTCTTAGCTTTAATTTTTAGGCATAGCTTGGAGCTCTCAGTTAGAATTTTCATAGTGTTTTCTAAGGAGATATTCACATCTTCGGTGTTTCTCTCCATATATTGTCTAATTAGAATTTGGATTGGTTCCGTGCGCAGTGCGTTTTTGAATTTTAAGTGTGAGTCAACTTCCCAGCAAAATTGCCGTGGTAATTTTGATAATCTATTGCTACTATTTGGAGTGTGCATTTCGTCTCCAATTAACCTGGTGTTAAGATTGAGCCATGCCACGATGGCACTATGATCCGATAAATAAGATGGCTGTTTAACAACAAAATTTGCAACGTTGAGAAATGTACACTGATCACATATTAGATAATCAATAACGCTCGTTCCGTTTTTTCCACATGTTAGAAGTAGATGTAGTAGGTGTAGTTGGTGTAGTAGCTGTAGTTGGTGTACTTAATGTAGTTGCTGTAGTACCTGTAGTTGGTGTAGTTAGTGTAGTTGCTGTAGTTGGTCTAGTTAGTGTAGTTGCTGTAGTTACTGTAGTTGCTGTAGTACCTGTAGTTGGTGTAGTTAGTGTAGTTGCTGTAGTTGGTCTAGTTAGTGTAGTTGCTGTAGTTGATGTAGTTGATGTAGTTCGTGTAGTTGGAGTAGTTACTGTAGGTAGTCGCTGTAGCTGGTGTAGTAGCTGTAGTAGGTGTAGTAGCTGTAGTTGGTGTACTTGGTGTAGTTGCTGTAGTTAGTGTAGTTGGTGTAGTTGGTGTAGTTGATGTAGTTGCTGTAGTTGGTGTAGTAGCTGTAGTTGGTGTAGTTGGTGTAGTAGCTGTAGTTGGTGTAGTTAGTGTAGTTGCTGTTGTTGCTGTAGTTGCTGTAGTTGGTGTAGCTAGTGTAGTTTGTGTAGTTGGTGTAGTAGCTGTAGTTGGTGTAGTTGCTGTATTTGGTTTAGTTTGTGTAGTTGCTGTAGTTAGTGTAGTTGGTGTAGTTAGTGTAGTAGCTGTAGTTGGTGTAGTAGCTGTAGTTGGTGTAGTTGCTGTATTTGGTTTAGTTTGTGTAGTTGCTGTAGTTAGTGTAGTTGGTGTAGTTAGTGTAGTAGCTGTAGTTGGTGTAGTAGCTGTAGTTGGTGTAGTTGCTGTAGTTTGTGTAGTTACTGTAGTTAGTGTAGTTGCTGTAGTTGGTGTAGTTGGTGTAGTTGCTGTAGTTGATGTAGTTGCTGTAGTTGCTGTAGTTGCTGTAGTTGGTGCAGTAGCTGTAGTTG